ACGGACTGCGACGTGTACAACGAGACTGCTGCTGCGAACCCTTTGTGCGCGACGTTCACGTTGTCTACTGGTGAGTACCTGTTCGGATCGCTTGTGGCGGAGTAACAGGTTTTATGCCAATGAGCGACATGGATATATGGGTATAATCGGAGATGGAGCAGGACAAGTTTTTAGTCACCAATACAAAACTCTGTGTACTCCTTTCATAAGTTGTATTCGATACTCTATCCGTCCAAAACAGAGTAAAATACGGTAGTGTCAAGCGATCGAACCGTTTTTCATGCAATTCTTTATTTTCATTAGAAATAGATTACAAATTCTTTTTTACGGAAATATTCTTTGACTTCGTTTAAAAAAGTCAATTCGTATCCTTTTCATTTTTAGAGAGTCTTCTAATGGAAAAGGTACGTTTTAAAAAAAGAAGCAAAAGATTTTCTGAGGATGCAGGCTATCGGTAAATCGCAAAAATTTTGTAGGATGGATGCCAGGATACTTAAGTATTTGTTTATGGAGTTCAGTCGATAATAGAGAAATTTAGTTCTTGGAATGACTTTTCGATGACGGATAGATTACAGATGGATGTTCTCAAACTTCCAATAACATAGGCGAAGATGTGCGTTGTTCCACTGGAATATACATGTATTTTTTTTTACAACAATAACATGAGATAACCCTTTCTGACAATTGTTGTACTATAATCCGGAGAACTAGTTAGCCATTTAAAGTCTAACTGGATCAATTAGCACTATTATAATATTTCTTCGAATTTGGATTAAGCTACTATTTATCGCTCAATTACAATAATACTGCGTTGTATGTGGCTGTGAAGCGTATGAAAAGAAGAAAAAAAGATCCATATATGAAAACTACCGTGCTCTAATTCTTGACGCATCCCGAAGTAGATAGCTTGCGTACTCGTATTTATTGATTACAGCGTTGAGCCGCAACTAGAAACATGTCGTTCGATGTAAAAGTCTCAAATGCTGCAGGTTGAAGTGGAGTACTTGTCATGGCACCATCAACATTCAACTTCATAATCCGCGGGATCTCTGGGTGAGCCAGACCAAATACGTCAGCATAGCATGCCAGATGTGTTCCGCACTGCAACTCACACGAACCTCACGCGGAATGCTACTGTATAACATTGCCGGCTTCTTTTGCTATTCTTTTATAAAAAAAATAACTTTAGAAGTACATGTATAGCAAAAACGGGAAAGGAACCCCGAAGACTTCACAAACGTCATGGCCAGCAACAGTGAAGCTGGCAGATCGGCCCTCGTACACAGTTTAGTATACACTAGACAAAAATGCGAGCAGGTGTTAAATTTGTAGGTCGTTTTTCAACATCGTAGCGGCAGGTCCGCAATATGGTCGATATCTCGCTAGTAGCGGCCCGAAAGTCAGTGCCGCTTGGATCGACAGTTGAAGCAGGGAATAATTCCAGTGGGTAGATACCTGAAGAAGCAAGCGTCGAATTGCCGCTTCTGTATGTAGCCTTTGAGAGATTAGTACCGTGCAAAATGCATCTAAAACGCTTTTGTCACTGATGTCGTAAACTTATCCTTGACCAAAATACTGCACAGTATCTTGCACGCAATGAACTTGTACAACGTTGCTCTGGTGCCGGTAGACCACGGCAGCTAGTGAAAACTTGACACCCGAAGCTGTGCCCAAGATTTGTGTTGTAACAGGCAAAATAAATGTTGAGTACGGCCGCTGTACTCAACATCCAGAGTCGTAAATTCGGCTTGGTGAATCACCATATAATAGAGGCTCGCACTGAGCAACCTCTGTGTACAAACAATGTGCATGTATCAAAGAAGGCACGAGGGGGGAATAACTGTGAAGCTCACCGTTATTCTCGTTAACAGCCGTCAACAGTATTTCCCGCTTCAACTTGTCAGCTCCATTGAAGTTTGGAATAATTCCAGTGGCGCGTGCAAATCCGTCTCGATTGCTGTGTCAGCTTAGATCACTCAAGGAGAGTGTGGGTTTCTGTATTAATAGTTAATAACAGCCAAGCCAATGCACCACTACTATTCCATGCTAGAATGGCATCCGAGAAACTTCCAGAAATAAATAAAAACATGTAAAATAAATTATTAGTAGTGCAACGTAAAAATAAAAACAAAATCTGATTCAAAAAGTAATACAGTATAACCCGAAACAAATCTGGGTGGATGCACTGTGCCGATTATGGTGCCAGCGGCACCATAATCGATTTACAGTGATGCACCCCGTTTTGTATGCTGTTTTATGTAAATACTAGTATTAATTGAATGCGCACCTTGTGCATGTACTTCGAAGTTCATTGCACTAATATTACTAACCAATGTTTTTGATGGATCACCAGCGCTTTATGGCCTATGCACAAGCACATGTAGGAGCCCCCGCAGTGCAGGGGGCTTTCCATTCTGAGCAAACGTCGAGCGAGCGTGAGGTCACGACATGCGCCGATCGTGTACAGTAGCGTGTTTTATGCAAATCTGAGGTGGGGAGGCCCGTGCGTGGTTGAAGTGAAGAAAGATTAACCCCCGGTTATGATTAACTGGTCCCGTTCACTAATCTGTGAGGCAATCCATCTAAGCTGCTGCGGAGCGCAGGGGAGATGCCTTCACTCGCTGTTCGCTCACGCGACTAGAGCTCACTTTTCAATTCGCTTTCGTCGAGCAAGAACAAGCAACTAACGCTCCAAGATGCTCAAGTCGTGGCAGTCCGCGGTGTGCTACACGGCACTGAGCCTGGCCCTCTTCAACAACGGTCTCGCCGCTGCCGATGAATGGGACGCCAAGGTCGACGAGATCATGGCCAACCTTACCGATATTGGCCTCGTGGGTCAGATGACGGAGATCGCCGCCTACGGTCTGCTGAACTCGACGTACCAGCTTGACGAGGAAGCTCTGCGTGGCTTTGCCAAGTACCATGTCGGCTCATACCTGAGTCCCCCAATGTCGATTCTTGGTGAGATCGACGGTAAGTGGGGCTGGACTACCGCTGAGATGCGTGCCTTTGTCGGCCGTATCCAGGAGATCGCCATGGAGGAGAATGGTGGTCACCCGATGATCTACGGCACGGACGCAGCACACGGCAACGCCATGGTCATGGACACTGTGTACTTCGGCCAGCAGATCAACGCCGCCGCCACGTTCAATCCGGATCTGGTCTACGAACAGGGTCGTATCACTGCTCGTGACACTCTGGCATCGGGTATTTCGTGGATCTTTGACCCCGTTCTGGACATCATGCACAACCCATTGTGGCCCCGTGTGTACGAGACGTTCGGAGAGGACCCGCACCTGGCTTCCGTCATGGGTGCCGCTATCACCCGCGGCATCCAGAGTTACCCCGAAGCTGCTGCCTGTATGAAACACTGGATTGCGTACGCCTGGAACCCCACCGGTCACGACAAGGATGGCGTCACAATGTCGGACTTTGACCTGCTCAACACGTACTTCCCGTCGTTCAAGGCTGCAGTGGACGTTGGTCTGCTTACGGGTATGGAGAACTATATCTCCGTGAATGGTGTGCCCATCGTGGAGAACAACAAGCTTCTTACAAAGTTGCTTCGCGATGATCTCAAGTTCGAGGGCTTGATGGTGACCGACTACGCTGAGATCAACCACTTGACTGAGTTCCACCGCACGGCTCGATCCACCGATGAGGCAACCAAGTTCTCTCTGGAGCGCACTTCTATCGATATGAGTATGGTGGCGTCGGACCTTTCCTTCACGAACGGCACTCTCAAGCTGATCGAAGAGAACCCGGCGATTGTCGATCGTCTCAAGGAGTCTGTGCGTCGAATTATCAAGACCAAGCTCAAACTCGGTCTGTACGACAACCCGCTGCCCGGTGCCGAGTACGTCGACATGGTCGGCAATGATGACGATGTCGCTACTGCTCTCGACCTGGCTCGTGAATCGACGGTACTGCTGCAGAATAATGACAGCACTCTTCCAATCCCGAAGACTGCTAAGGTCTTCCTGACTGGTCCTATCGCCCATAACATTGGTCGTCAGTGCGGTGGTTGGACCGTTCAGGCTCAGGGCGTGTCGGGTAACGACATGTTCTCGCACGGAGTGTCGGTCAAGCAGGGCTTCGAGGCGATCGCTGGTAGCGATGCTTTCTCGTACTTCAACGGCTTGAACATTACGGGCAACTACACTGATGTAGATCTTGCTACTGCTAAGGAATATGCTGCTAAGGCGGAGTACACGGTTGCCGTCATTGGTGAGGAGGTCTACGAGGAGAAGACCGGCGACATTAACGATCTGACTTTACCTCTCGGTCAGATTCAGTACGTTAAGGAGCTCGCGTCGACTGGTACTAAGGTCATCGTGGTCCTTTTTGAAGG